ATGCTATATTTTCTTTCTTTATCCCAGTAAAGGATTAGTAAATATTCCCAAAGCACAAAGCCACTCTAAACTGCTAAGTCAAATCACTGAAACGAAACCGGTTCCTGACAGTACATGAAATACCTCTGCTAAAATTAGCTTAGGTCACAGCAGTACATGGTGTGGCTATCTTGTTCATGTTAATACTAAGAACACTTGGATCAGCCATAGCCCTCTGGTAAGTAGCTAGCTAGGAAGACAAGTGATTAAATTACTACTGTAAACAAAAATTCCCATTAGGGGCTGGGTAGATTTCAATCAAGAAACCTTTGGGGACTGGAAAGCTGACTCAGCAGGTAAAAGCATTTGTTGCATTTGCAGGTGGTCTGGATTCGGCTTCCAGCACCTGTATCAGGCAGCTCATAATTGCCTCTAATTCCAGTTCTAGGGGATCCAATACCCTCTGGTCTTTGGGGGTAGTGAATGCATATGGTAAACATAGACTCAGGCTGGCAAGCAAATATACTTATATAAAGTAAACAATAAATAAATATTTTAAAGGAAATCCTTGTAAATGAACATTGTATTTTATTTGATATTTATTGTTATTGTTTTTGAGACATTGTTTCTCTGTGTGGCCCTGGCTGAGCTGTAACTTAACTCTGTAGATCAGGCTGACCTCGAACTCAGAGATGCACCTGGTTCTGCCTCCTAAGTGCTAGGATTAAAGGTGTACACCACCATGCTCAGCTGAACATTTATTTAAAATCAAACAAAAAATAGTAACAATTAGGTTCACAGGTTGGCCCTGTAAGAGTACTTGACACCCAGGCTTGACAAACCCAAGTTCCCTCATGGAGTACTACTGTGGAAGGTAAGAACCAATTCCTGGAAACCTTCTTCTGACCTCCACACATTTTCATGGCATGAGCAAAAGATGGAAGAAGTAATTTCAGGTCTGAGGAATACCAATTTTGTTCATTTTCTGATACACTATGAGACAAGGAAATCGAAGACTATAATTTGATTAGAATAGACAATTTACTTGACTTTTACTTGAATTTGAAGAATCTATAGAGATGTCAGTATTGAAAATTATAACTGATGCTTAGGATGAAAAAATAAATACAGAGAAGGGTTTGGGGACCAGTCAAGAATGAAAGACCAAATATTGCCAGGTTTTTCCTTTACCCTTGTCACCAACTTCTGTGAGTTTGAACTTTTCTTATCCTGTCTCCGTTTTCAACTCTGATATCATTAAATTCTTATCTTTAATCTGTTTCCTTTCTTTCTCTTTCTTCCTTTTTGTGTGCAATGTATGTGCAGGCCTATGCACCTGTGAGTGTTGCTGATATAAACTTATGCCATAAATTGATGCTGGGTATCTTCATTTATTCTTCTTTGCCTTATTTTTTAAGATTAAAAAAATTAGGGCTGGAGAGATGGCTCAGAGGTTAAGAGCACTGACTGCTCTTCCAGAGGTCCTGAGTTCAATTCCCAGCAACCACATGGTGGCTCACAACCATCTGTAGTGAGATCTGGTGCCCTCTTCTGGCCAGCAAGTATACAGACAGACAGAATACTGTATATATAATAAATAAATTAATCTTTTTTTAAAAAATTAAAGATTATTTTTATTTTGTGTTTATATTATGAGTGCCCAATGCATGTGTGTGCACCACGTGCGGTGCCCACTGAAGCTAGGAGAGGGTGTCAGATACCCTGGCACTAGAGTTATAGGAGGTTGTAAGCCACCATGTGAGTGTAAAAGCAGCAACTGCTGAGATATCTCTCAAGTCATAGCCATCTTATTTTTTGAGAAGGGTCTCTCACTGAACATGGAGCTCACTGATTGGTCAGATTGGCTGGCCAGGAAGTCCCTAGATCACCTGTCTCAGTACCCCTAGTGCTGGGATTACAGGTGCAGGCCACTAAAGCCAGCTTTTATGGAGCACGGAGATCTTCCTTGTGCTTGTCCAGCAGGCACTCTATCCACCGAGCCACAGCCCAGTTACAATTCTTTAAGGAGGAGAAGGGACAGAGTTTCACTGTGCAGCTCTGGCTGGCCTGGAAATCTATATAGACCAGCCTGGCCTAGACCTTAGAGAGGTCCACTCGCCTCTGTCTCAGCATGTAGACAGGGTAGACAGGATTTTTTAAAAAGGGTCTTCTCTGACAATGAGGACCCCGAGAGAAACATACATAGATCTAATCTACATGGGAAGTAGAAAAAGACAAGATCTCCTGAGTAAATTGGGAGCATGGGGACCTTGGGAGAGGGTTGAAGGGGAGGGGAGAAGCAAGGAGGAGAGCAGAGAAAAATGTAGAGCTCAATAAAAATCAATAAAAAAAATGAATAGAAAGTCTTCTCAATTATTTCTTTTCCCAGTGTTCTCTCTAATCAATACTTCTTTCACATTATAAATTGCCTTCTAAAACAATATGATCACACCGCTATGACAAAAAATGGATGGATTTATTGGTTTTATCTAGTGTTACAGAGTGACATTAGTCTTAATAAACCCTTCACTTTGTCTCTTCAAGCAGCTTAGCTGAATTTCCAGCTTGGGCTAGTTTTCATTGGGGTTTATGAATTAGTCAGCAAGCATTTATTAAATGTTGCACATAGTGCTCAGTCTGTGAGACTGCACCAGCCTCACAAAGCTCAGCCTCCAGCTGGGTACTGCACCACCACCAAGCTTCAGATGCTGCTTCATTGGTCAGCACTTAGTTTGATCAGTGATCAAACCACAGAGAAAGCAAAAATTTAGAGAAAGCCTTTGCTAAGGTAGTATTTTAACTGAACGCTGAACACACAGAATGTGTGAACACACAGTAAAAAGGACAACATATACAGAGGGATCCAGCAGGAGTAAACATGCAAACACTGGTATGAGGAAGGCCAGTCGAGATGGATGAAGAGGAAAGTTAGAAAGATTCAGACACTAAGGGCAGGGAACAGCGAGATTCAGTCTTGGCAAGAGAAAAGCGCTGAACCATTCAGAATGCCTTGGAAGTCAGGCAGGGATTTTAGAATCCGGTACACATAAGTCAAAAGGGAAGAGCCTGGATAAAAAGATGACTTGGGCTCTCTCTCATTTGGTTAGATGGAAGAGACAAACGGAGAGATATCAGAAAGGAATTACAGACTTTAAAGAGAGATAACAGTTAAAGAGGAGACATCAGTAAGATGCTTGGCAGTCTAGCTTGGGAAAAGCTGAAAAGCGACATCACTGGGGTTTGCTAAAGGGGGTGACTTAGGACACATGAGAGGAAACTGACAGAACCACGCCATGACAAGTCTACTGGATAGTCAGAACAAAGCTAAACTCCAGGGAGTGGACCGCTAAGCAGAAAGACCAATACCTTGTTGCTGAGGGCTCTATGACTACAAAGCTAGATATTACTAATTTACAGTCTTAAAACTGAATGCCAGAGGAGAGCAACAGCAACATATCTTTATAAGGATATTAAGGTAATTTGCCCAACATCCATTTGTTAGCAGCCGAGCAAAGGCAAAGCTGCTTCTCAACCTTTGTCATTATACTTGATTCAAAAGCTTCCGGGAAGAAAGGGACACTCCAGGCCTTTGTTTCAAAGAGAGTCCTCATCAGAGAGGCAGGAGATGAGGCCATGAGAATGTGTAACTGTTTGATGGTAGAAGAAGAGAAAAAGAGGGAAACCTAGTAGACACTGGCAATTAATTGGAATGTGGAAGGAAGAGAGCCTAATGAGAGATACCAAACTGATGGGAATGCTGAAGATGGAGGAGAAAAGTCAAAAGTGCAGACTCAGGAGAGCCAAAGTTGAAGCCAGGACTCGGTGACCTAAAACTCCAAACAAATTTGGAAGAAAAGGGCCATTCGGCATCAAGGAAACACAGCAGATGGTTGAAGTTTTCAAAAAAATCTAAACTTTTAAAACATTAAAGAAAAAAATTCTTCCAGATGTTTGTCAATGTTTGTTTAATACATCCAGTGGAGGGCTGATTTTGTCTTGATACATTAAAAACTTTCTACTTGCATCTTACAAGTTATACTTATAAATTATAAGTGAGATGTATTCAGTACTGAAAGTAAAGTTATCTGTCAGTTTGTTTTACAGAACAGTAATTGGATCTTTGATCTTACTGTTATTTGTATCTTTTGGTCATGCTGGTGTTCGAACCCAAAGATTTGCTTGTATTAGGCAAGCACTTTACCACTGAGCTCTGTCCCTGGCTCAAACACAGTTCAACATCACCTGGTCAGATTTCCCACTTTTTTATTTGGCCTTATCTTCTACTTGCTTGAGAGGCTTCTGATAATGCAAGCAATAGCTACTGTACTATACTGATTATACTATACAGTATGCAAACAATAGCTACTGTACTATACTGATTATACTATACAGTATGCAAGCAATAGCTACTGTACTATACTGATTATACTATACAGTACTATACTGTACTCTGTTTTATCATTGCTTAGGTTCAATAAAGGAGAAAAGTGCACTCTAAAAAGCAACACTACAGATTATATGCAAACCTGAATTATATATGATTGAATAAGCTGTATCTGTAAATGCTATTACAAATAGCATGTTCAATCTTCTGATTGCATCTGTAGTTTCTTCCACTTCTTTCTCTCCTGGGACTGAATCCAGTTCTCGCAGACTAGGGAAAGGTTCTCCCCCGAGTGACTTTCCATGCTCTGTAGTTTCTGCATTAGGTCGTGGCTTGCAACAAAGTGGACTGAGCTATCATTGTTCTAACAAGAAATATCTATTCTTAAACACCATAAACCTTTATTAGTCACTAGTAATGTGGAACACGGTATCTTGGCACAAATCAAGCTAAATCTAGGAAATTTAAGTTGTGTGTGTGTGTTCATACAGAGGATTTAATCTGAGCCTCATCTATGTTAAGCATTCATTAACTATACCCATGGCCCCCAGTCCCTAACTTTAAGTTAAAAAAAAATTAATAGACCGTCAATGCAATAAAGGATAGAAAAGAGCTGATCAAACAACTAGTGACTGACCTTGTTCAAGTCTGAAGAGGGTCTTCTCTAGTCTTTCCATTTCGTTCATTAGTAAAATTCGAATCTGTCTACTGTGTTCCATTTTGGCTGCCGGAGGATCTGAAGTCTTTCCGTAGAATTAAAAGGACCCCAAAGTGGAATGAGTTACCCCTATAAAACAAAAGGTAATTATGAAAAGAAAATATGAGCTAAAACTCTCTAGAGTTGACAGTGGCACTTACATGTCCTAGATAGATTAAAAGCCTAGAAGAGCAATGAGAAAGAATGAAATCTTGAAGGTTAAATCAAAGAAGGGAGAAGTTTCTTCTCTCTTGGAGCAGAGTAAGAAAGCCTGAAGCAAAAATGTCGATTCTTACAGTCAAAACAGGACAGACCAAAAAGAAGCTAAAACATTCTCAGGGAAAAGCAACCCATCCGGGCAAGTCTGGAGTTCAGGAGCAAAAATTCCGTCCCGAGTCCAAGGGCCCAGAAAGCTCCAAATGGCACTGCAGCCTCCAAGAGATCAGGCTGCTCAGGGAACAGGTGGAAGGGCAAAGGGTTCCCAAATTCGGGTCTGAAGCCACCAATGGGGACGTGATTAGAGAGGGAAGCAGTTGCTGCCCCGGGAATAGCTGTGACGGCATTCGATGTACAGAGGGGGCTATAGATAGAAAGAATGTGCGTCCCCAGCCGGACGCATTCCAGGCACTTACGAGAGGGACAGACGTGCGGCGTCGGGAGCGGGAGCGGGAGTCGGGCACAGCGGGAACGCCGGACCGAGCGGCAGCCCGGGGAGGGCAGGGAGCCTTGAAGGGCACGGGGAGGGACCCCGGGACCCGGGCCAGGTGACAGTGACAGGCCGGGGACAGCCGAGACTCCGCCCAGCGCGGCCGGAGGACGCTCCTACTCCGCTCGGCCCGTGGACAAGCTCAGGGGGGCGTGGCCCTGCCCCCCCACTTCCGGGAGTCTTCACTCCCGCTAGCGCAGACCGCTGGTCTCGCGAGAGGTGGGCGCGGCGGGGGTCTGGAGGGGTCTGAATTTAGGGGACAGGGGTCCTTGTATGGTCTTCAAAGCCCATGTTGCATCATCACTGTTCCTTTCCAGGAAAAGTGAATTAAAGAGCAAAGATAAGCGGGGACAATGTTTAGGGAAGTTCTCTCTGTAAAGAAACTGCAAATTAGAAAAAAACAATTTCTTAAGATATTGTACAAATCATCTAACTTCTTTGCAAGCCTAATCCCTAAAATGTCATTGACAACCACCGCTCCCCCACCACGCACATCCCACAAAAATAAAATATGTGAAATGTTTCGGAAAATAATGTATGTCCTGTAACTGTAAGTATCAACTGCAATACTGAAGAGATAGCTGATACTCTTCTAAGTCCTTCGAATGCGTGAAGTTCGCTGGGATGTTGGTTTTAATGTTAATTTGCCACAGACTAGTCACTGGGAAGAGGGAGGCTCAACTAAGGAGCTGCCTCCATCAGATTGGCCTGTTGGCGTGTCTGTGGAGGTTTTTCCTTGTTCTAGGATTGCTGCTGCAGGTAAATGGGCAATGCCACCCCTGGGCAAATGGTCCTGGGTTCTATGAGAAAACAGGCTGAGCAAACCACGAGGAGCAAGCCAGTAAGCTGCATTTCTCCATGGCCTCATTTTCAGCTCTTGAGTTCCCCCAATAAAGGACTGTGTGGTCAGGAAGTCTAAACCAGATAAATGCTTTCTTCCCCCAACTTGCTTTTGGTCAGGGTTTAATCACACAAACATACCTTTTCGCTACCATTGATTTAAAGGTAAGGAAACCGAGGCTCCAAAGGTTAAATAACTTGGTTAAGGTCACTTAATGGAGCAAATGTGATTTTAAGTGCATTCTTGGTGATTTCTGTCCAGCAAACCTTTTATCTGAGGGCGCTGACATTATTTCCGTTGCTTAAAGACCTGACAAGTTGAAAGAGGGAGTTTGCTTTCTAGCTTGTAAGGACATTCGTTTTTTCTAGGAGTCATCTCAGGAATTCCCCTGCAGGAAATCTGCCTGCGCTATCCCTCTCTCGTGTGCGGGTTTGATGATCCGTTAGGTCTCTTCTCTCCCGGGGTCTTAGGAAGAGTGGAGGTCAGAACACACCTCTGTGAACAGACTGCAAACTCTTGCTTGACTATAAAATTTCCCAGACCAAGGCTGTCAACTAGGCTGAGGAACACAGTGGCTCTTTTTATGGGGAGGGTTGACTGGTGAGAACACGTGACCCAGCTACCATGGTGCTGTATGTTGGGATATATATATCCGAAAATATATATATATATATATATATATATGTATGTATGTATATATCAACCTAAGTTTTCATATCTCCATCTTCCCCATCTGAAGTAAGGAATGGACCTACATTCTCTGACTTTTCATCCGGTACAAATTCATCAGACTGTCCTATGGCCAGCTCGTTTTGCCCTCCCCCCCACACCATCGACTGGTGTTCTCCAGGACTCCAAAACTAGCCTTTCCCATTGCCTTGGCTCCAGCAAAACTCTCACGGTAGTGCCCAAATCTCAAATAAATGAAAGAAGTAGAGTAGATCGAGGACATAATTTTTTAAAGAAGTTAGTTCTTCTGATGAAAATGCTAGATTTTTTTTTTCTCAAGATTTGGGAACTCAAGTTTTGGAGACTTCATCATGTGAAATAAAGTAAGTGATAACTGACAGACAGGCAGATGATTTGGTAGGATACGCCTCAAAGGGTACTCTTACAAGTCACACAGAAGTCACAGAAATGTGCTGTCTGTAAAGGTCTTGAGATGTTGATGATTGTAGTCCAGGCTGTGTGCATGCCAGTGAACATCCGTCACATTTGGGCTGTCCTGTGCATGCAGGATCTATAGACACACGACAGTCTCATGCTATAGCTGTCGGGAGAAAGTCCTTGAGGACTTTCCAATAGATAACCTCAGTTACTTTTAAGGTTACTGGTATTTCCTCAGACAGCGATGTTTTCAGAGGGAGAGAGAGTCAGTGGTCAGAAGAGGTTCTGTCTAGGTTTGTGCATATGTGTCTGTGTTTCCTGAGAAGAAACAGTGTTAGGGGACTGTGCTGGCTAGCGTTAAGCCAACTTGACACAAGCTCTGAAGTCACCTGAGAGAACGGAGTTTCAGTTGACAAAATCCTTCATGAAGATTGGGTTATAGGCAGGCCTAGAGAGCAATTTTGTAATTAGTGCCCAATCAATTGTGGGCAGTGCCATTCCTGAACAGTTGGTCCTGGGTTCTATAAGAAAGCAGGTTAAGCAAGCTATGGGAAGCAAGCCAGTAAGCAGCACCCCTCCATGACCCCTGCATCAGCTCCTATCTCCAGGTTCTAACCCTGTTTGAGTTCCTGTCCTGACTTCCTTTGATGATGAACAGTGATACGGAGGTATAAGTGAAACAAACCCTTCCCTCCCCAAATTGCTTTGGTCATGGTGTTTCATCCCCATAGTAACCCTAACTAAGACAGGGACATTAGGTATAATTTGGTTCTAGTTCTGTGATTATCTGTATCTGAAAATGCATGGCCTGCCTTATTCACTTTATATGATTGTCAATAGTTTAATAGTATATAATGTCATCTCTTCTAAAAATACAACTTTTTGAATTTTGTTACTTTTTTTTTTTTTTAGCTTTTTACAATACCCAGGTGCAACCAGTAAAGAGAAAAGGGGAATATAGGAAAAGGAAGCAGGTTTGATGTCTGCGAAACAGAAGAACCTGGATATTAAACTAAGAGATGACGAAAACCACACAGATGGCTTTGAAAACGGAGAGTACGCAACTGAATGAAAATGGACTTTGGAGACAAACAAACCTTGGACTGGTTTTAATGCCTCTGAATTGTAAATGTGCCTATAAAATTGAGAGAACATTTCATTTTCAGGATCAGATCTGAAATTAGATAGAATTCAGAATACAAATGAAATTAAGTTTGATGATTCTTGTCGACATATTACTGAGGTACCAGAATTGTGCCATGAGTTCCAGGCCACCCTGGGTTCTGTAGTTAATCAAGGCTGCAGAGAGATAGATACTCTGTCTCAAGAAAACAAAAGCAGAAATAAAAAAAACCAAGTTGGTTTCTAAGTTACATTTAACTGCATGGTAAGTTTTTAATAAATGATAGCTTTGAGGGGGTGAGTGGTGATTAGCTGTCCCTGTTGGGCTGGTGATACTGTCAAACAAAGCGAATTGAGGCATAACAAACGCAAAGGGGTTCAAAAGGAATCTTACTCTGTGAAGAAGGAGTATTAGGGTACATTTCTCAGTGTTTGAACCTAAACCATTGAAATCAGGAAGGACAGAACCTAAGAACAAAATAAAGATTATTCAGCAATAAATATGTTGTTTTTTTTTTTTTAAAAAATCAAATAGATGGGTTTGGGAATGACGTGGTGGTTAAGAGTACTAATTGTTCTTCCAGAGGATTTGAGGCCCATTCCCTGCAGCCACATGAAGGCTGACAACTGTCTGTAACTTCAGTTTCAAGGGATCTGACACCCTCTTCTGGCCTCAGTGGGTACCAGGCATGCCACATGATGCACATATAAACATGGAGGCAAACATACACATTAAAAAGTCTAAAAAAAGAAAAGAAAAAGAAAAATCATTTTAAAATTCCCAAACACTGATATAACAAATTAGCTAAAGAGTCTATGGAATACTTGCAAACACCAGGATTTAGAGTTTTAGGTTTTCTTTTTTTCTCCCCTACGAATTAAAGATATTTTAGGTGTTCCTCAATTTCAGACCAAGCAATTTAATTCTTTCAAACAATTTTAACTTTTCTGTTAAAATCATGGACTTCATTTTGATTGAGAAGAAAGGATCAGGGAGAGGAGGGTGTTGAAGCTGGTTGTTTATATCTGTAATGATTATTTCAGCTGTATTTCAGATAGAAAGAATAGCAGGAGCTTGATGTGGAAAGTCCTTATGTACATGTGTTGCTTTTATTGGTTAACGAATAAAGAAACTGCTTTGGGCCTATAGCAAGGCAGAATGGGAAAAACTAAACTGAATGCTGAGAGAAAGAAGAATTCATGAGAAGCCATGTAGCCACTGCCGCAGACATACATGCTGAAACCTTGCCAGTAAGCCACAGTCACATGGCGATACACAGATTAATGGAAATGGGTTAGTTTAGGATATAAGAGTTAGCCAGGAATACACTCAAGCTATTGGCCAAACAGTATTGCAAGTAACAAAGTTTCTGTGTGATTATTTCAGGTCTGAGTGGCTGGGAAAAGAATGAGCGGCCTCCCCCCACAGTAGCTTAAATAAGAGATCAGTTTATTCCGATCTTGCTTAACAGTAGAGATAATGAGATCAATGGTGGTGGAGCACCAGTCAATGGTGGTGGAGCACCAATCGATGCTGGTGGAGCACCTCTGTGATACCCAGAACTTAGAGTCCACCTTCACAGTCCTTCTTTTGACTGGGTCAACCTCATTTAATTGTGCATACATCTCCTGGGGCTGTGACTATCACAGCCAAGTTCATGCAGTAGAATGAGGAAAGGTAAGAGAACCAAGTTCTTTTTAAAGAGAATTCCTTTAAAAAAAAAATGACATCTCTGACTGTAACTCCTCTGAACCTTCAAGACGTCAGAACCTCTAAGATTTACAGGGTC